TACCGCTGTTCTCAGCCCGAAGGCGACTCACAGCGGTTCACAACAAGTAAGAACAGCAAAAATTCAATGCTATAGTGTAAAAAACAATTAACAACCTAACATATTACATAATTAATAAACAATTACTACAATAACCATTCACTATCGTCTCATCATCAAAAACATGATCCAGATTTGTCATCCATTATTCCGTTCCAATGTTCATTAACCAGTCATTGCACTAATTATTCGAACGCCTGCTCAAACAGCCAGGTCTTCACTTGTACATAGAAACACAAGGCTGGAAAATGGATTCTAAGAAGCAAACTGATTTCCTTTGCTTTCCTCAAAACATAGTTAATCATTTTCCTCAGTAGATGTGTTTTCATTATGAATGCAGTACACTTTATCCTCAAAAAACACAACTCTAGCAAGAAATATGTGGCATAAATGAATAATCAGAAAAGAAAATTTCAAAGCTAAAAAACCAAGTTGTGATTACTTTACCCTATCTATCCAGTTAGATGCATAACTCGCTCTACAGTTCTGTTGCTCTGGTATTTTTCATATATACTTATTTCATTAAAGCAACTTTGCAATTTTAGCAAACTTTGGTGATTTTTTATTTAAAAAACCCTAAATTTTAATTGCTGTCAGGGGAGACTGGGAGAGAAGGATACTTCCACTTCCTAAAATTATGTCAGTGCTGGCATACGAGCAGGTGGACCATATCGCGCAAAGAAAGTACCCAAACCGGGATGTGATCTGGGGTTATCAGCTTGTCATAGGGAGTGTGGGATCGGCAATGAGTTGTGTCAGGTGATAGGAGCTGAGCTTCTGCTCAAATCTTGAGGTAGAAGCATTGGCAGTTTGAAATTTTGTAATAGCTCCTAAAGCTACAAATGATTTTGCAAGTAACAATATATCCTTAGCACTAGTTAAATACTGTATATATTCGAGTATAAGCCTAGTTTTTCAGCCTTTTTTTTTAGGCTGAAAAAGTCCCCCTCGGCTTATACTCGAGTCAAGGTTATTTATTATTTTACCTCTATTATTATTATTATTATTATTATTACATTTATTATTTTACTCTATTTATTTATCATTTATCATTTTACTCTATTATTGTTGTTATTACTACATTTATTATTTTACTCTATTTATTATTGTTATTATTACGTTTATTATTTTGCTTTATTATTATTGGAAGGATATGTAAGCACATTTACATTGAACAAGGTTAGAGTAATGGTTTAATCAGAGTTTAATCTGATATTACAATTTTATGTAAATATTTTATTATTGTTTTTCCATAGTTTTTATTGAAGTTTTTTGAGTTGAGTATACATCGAGAAGGTGCCAATCATCGACATAACTTCGATTAACATAAAAAGGGGAAAGTATCTATTTCCAGAAGGGGAATAATAGGAAGAAAGGAGGAGGAGGAAAAGAGAAGGAGGAAAAAAAAGTGCCGGTGAAAAGGAGTGTAATAGATGGAGGGTGCAGAGTGAAGTTAGTACTTTTGTTTACTGATTTACTCCAAGAGGTGTTGTTAGTTATTAGTGGTTTCTTCTTTTCTTCTCTTTCTTCTATCTATATCTACTTGATATTGAAATGTTCTTTGACCGGAGACCAGTCTGTCTTGTTTTCATCAGTTGTTTGTGCATTCTTCAAGTATTCTGTTAAAACGTCCATGTACATTATATCTAATATTTTCAGCAATTCGTCTATCGTTGGCATTTTTTGTTTTTCCATTTTTTTGGCTGCTACTATCCTCGCCGCCGTTGTCATATGGAAGAAAAGTTTGTCTTTGTTTTTTTTCAATTTCAAAGTCTAAGATACCCAGTAAATAATATTCCGCTTTCTTTTTTTTTCTTATATCCAAGATCTTGCTTATTACTCCGTGGACCTCTTTCCAAATTTTTTAAATTTTGTCACATGTCCACCATAAGTGGAAAAAGGTACCCTTCTTTCTTTGACATTTCCAGCACGTATCAGGCACATTTTTGTGGTATTTTGCTAATTTACTAGGAGTGATGTACCATTGGTACATCATTTTAATCCCATTTTCCCTCAAATCATAGGAGTTTATCCACTTTAATTTGGTCTTCCAGATCTTCTCCCATTCTGTTGTTCCGATTGTATGTCCTAGATTCGCCGTCCATTTCAATGTGCAGTTTTTGATTCGATTTTTCTCCGTCTTCCAATCTAAAAGAATTTTATACAGTTTGGTAATCCCCTTTTTTTCCGAAAGCATAACTTTTTCCCAGTATTTATCGCCAGTTTCAAAACCTATTTTTTTATCTTTGTTGAAAGCTTCGTAAAGTTGTCTATATTGAAACCATGATAGTTCACCATGTGTTGCTCTTAATTCCTCCAGGGTTTTGATTGTGTATGCTTCTCTATTTTTCTTTAAGATATCTTTGTATCGGGGCCACTTTTACCAACCCAATTCTTTTCTTTGCGTAGCTTTGAGGGGTGATATCCATAGGGGTGTTTTTTTGATAAAATTTGGCTTTGTATTTCTCCCAAACTTTAATCAACAAAGATCGAATGAAATGATTGCCAAAATTCTTTTCGATGTTCCTTTTAGCGTACCATAAATAGGCATGCCACCCACTTTGGAGGTCATGCCCTTCCAGCACTAGATCTTTAGTAATATTTTATTATTTATTTATTTAAAACTGTTATATCCCAATCTTCTCTACCTCCATAGAGGGACTCAGACCTACTTTAACTTACTGATGCCTCAATTAATGTAATTGTATTGGTATCTATGTTTATTTTGAAATTGATCAGTAGCTGCTGCATTTCCCACCTTCGAGTCAATCTGTTTTCCTAGTTATTTGTGGTAAAATTAGATGCCTCGGCTTATATTCAGGTTGGCTTATATTCAAGTATATATGGTAATACTTACCTTTGGAATAGCTATAACAGGACCTGGTGGTCCAGGAGGACCTGGTGGGCCCACAACTCTAGCACCATCTTGCCCTGCTTCACCCTATTTCAACAGAAGAATATTTTTGTTCTTAAAATGGCTATTTCTGTATAACTGATATCCAAATTAATATTCATTGATAATAAATGGCATTACATTATTTCTTACCTTGGAACCTGGGTCACCTTTATCTCCTTTGGGCCCCTGAATTGAAAAGTCAG